CATCAAATAAAAATATACTGAAATAAATAGTATTTTTTAATTTAAAGTAAAACGTATTAACATAAACAAATGTGGGAAAAATATTCTTCTTATAATATCAATGAATATATTTATTATGATAATTATAATTATATTTATGAAGTGCTTGATTATAAAAAAATTTTAATATCTTTATTACATTATAATCTTTAGTTAATTGGATTAAAAAAATAAAAAAGCAGTTATCTAACAAATTTTTTACTAGTATTTATTTAATTGTCAGTGTTTCGAATTAATTTTTCATAACATGTTCTATTTGTACTTAAATTTATATATGCTTTTATTTAATATGTATTACGAAAAACCTTATCTTCAAATAATATTGTTAAATAATAATTTTTAACGATGTACTCAATAACTAACTAAAAATAAAGTTGAGCTTTATTTACACTAAATTTAATTTTTTGAATCTATTAAAATGGAGTAGAGTTTCAAATAAGATTTTCAAATGGCATTACTATATGGAAATTGATTCGAAAAAATATTTTTTAATCTAGTTCCAGACATTCTTTATTCAGTTAACAGCTGTGTTTTACTTGTTCTTAAGTGACTTCCATATCCCAATGTACTTAATACTCAGGATAAATTTGTAATTCTGTCATTTCTTAAACGCAAAAATTTGTTTGAACGTCATGACTATGATTATTTAATAACAATTTGCATGAAACTGTATTTTAAATTTCACTATTGGCAATAAATTGGAAATAAATATTAGTGAATTTGATTATGTACATAACAATTGTTATTGTTTAAAATACTTTTAACCTTTGTTCGTATTTTCGCATTTTTCAAGTTTTCCTAAATTATTTTATGAATACCAATTGTTACAAAATTCATATAATCAAAATTTTATTTAACTAAAAGAAAGATTAAAGTTTTAGCAAATGCTATTAAAATAATCTACTTTTAAATATTCAATTTCAAATGCAATTTACACGATTAAACAGAGTTTGATTAAAAAATGTGTAGCTTTTATATAATTTTAACATTCAATTAGTTGGTCGAACAAAGGGGATAGTTTTTGTTTAGATATGACTTTAAAAAACTACTATCAAGCGACAATATTGAACAGATGTTCATTTGCCAACGGTAGGTAGTTGTGCAAGTAGTAGAAACTCCAATTGTTCCGTGCGAAATTTGCATTAGGTTTTCGCAAAATACTTAGGAGCACGTGTTCTATGAAAATCAGCGCGATCGGTTAAATTAACAACAATCATTGTAGCAGATATTTATATAAAAATTCGTTTTCAAAATGATATTTACGTCTATATTTTCTATATTATTATATGATAAAAAAAATATACAATTTTTGGAATATGCAATAAAAAATTTTCAGATACTATAGTATATATATATATATATGTGTGTGTGTGCGCGTGTGTGTGCGTGTGTGTGTGTGCGTGTGTGCGCGCGCGCGCGCGTGTGTGTGTGTGTGTGTGTGTGTATTGTTCAATATGGATTTTCCAGCTACGTAGAAATAACCAAACACTTTTCTATCGTAATATTTAAACTATTTATAGATAAGTGATAAAATTGTAACAAAATTAAAACTAACTATGATATTACAAGATATATTCAATATTATATAATGTATAAGATTTGAACTTTTTCGATGAAAAATATTATTATTGAAATTAATCCCAAAATAAACGAAGCGAAGAAGCTCTGTAGTAATCCTAAAAATTATTTTAGACAATTTTTTTTTATATCATTTATGTTAGGTAAGATTAAATAATTTTGAATAATACATAAATTTCTTTGGAAATTAATTTCAAAATTCAATGCTTGTAAATTAAACACTAATTTTATGCGGAATATATATTTTAATTTTCATTTTTAATATTGTTAGATTATATAACGTATATTTACCTATTAATTTAATCTCAAACACATTAAATAAAGTAAATTATGCTGCAGAAAATATTAATAAAGGCATCAACTAATAATCAAATATGCTTTACAACACATAGAAATAGTAGGAATTTCAATGACCTATTTTAAGCAAGTGAAGCTCATCTCTGGGTAATAACGCAAACTCAATTTTAAAACGCAAGTAAAATTAATTCTCTTTTGCATCGTATTCGTACTTATTATAGCTACCACAGTAATTTCAATTTGCAATTCTATAAATATGTTTTTGTGACGATAAAATCATATATTAAAAATGTTACGTAATGCGTTCTTTTATATTTCACAATGCATTTAAGAATTTTTAAATAAAGCATACAAAGGAATGCATATTAAATATTTAAAACAATTAAATATTCGTTATTCGTTGAAGTGTTCATCGTACGATACTTTTGCGATATACTTATTAAATTATTTTCGTTCAAAAATTACAGTTCAGCACAACCATAATAAAAAATAAATCAAAAGCATAGTAATATCTACGGGCTGTAAAATCTAATTCACCTATTCTCCATCGGAAATTTCTATCTACCTTTCATTTTTTTTTTTTTTTTTTTTTTTTTTTTTTTTTATATTTGATGAATTTAGAATAGATGAGCCAAGTCAAAGCATTTCTAATGTTAGTATTCATCGGAAGAATTTATGTTTTCTATTTGAATAGATTTCAAGAGCATGTTTTATCTGAACTTTAAATAAATAATTTTAATATTAATTGGAAGTATAATTAAAGACACGAAATGATTCTGTAAAACATGAACAACTATGATTGATTAACATAAAGGGATTGGCGTTTAATCAATTAAAATGTAAATATTTATATTAAACTCGATGATGCAATGTATATTAAAACAAATAAGATAAGATATGTTACTTCATTCTTCGTATTCACTACATCGAGTAATTATAACTTTGTGCTGTTTAGACAATTATTTAAACAGCAAACGATATCGTTGGGAGATTGAAATAAGCAATCAATATATATTTGATTCGTTTTAGCTGTGATTTTATTTATTTTTTTATTTCTTTATTTCTTTATTTCTTTATTTTAAGAACTTAAAATATGCACTTTTAAACATTGGGATATTATTATATTATATGTTGTTTCTTTCTTTTTATATTTATTTATAAATATTTTACAATTTTTAACGACAATGAAACTAATATTATAATTTATAATATTAGAAACTAATGATGTACTGTAATTTTTGGCAATTTACTGCAATCACGTTATACGTTGACTTATTATACGTTGAATAATTTTAATGAATTATTCTAATAAATAAATGATTGATAAAACAAAAAATTTTACAATTTTTATATTTTACAGAGTGTTGAACGACATTGAAAGACATTTTCAGTTCCTTTATACTAGAATTTAATAAACCTACAAATGTATTGTTAAGTTCTTAAAGCCTCTTTGCATTTTTTGTACCTTACTATTATTACCTACTTTCTTGTTTATTATTTATTCTATCTGCGCTTCTCAGGCAGTTTCTCCTTACGCTTATATCTAACCGTCAGAATTCGCAGCTTTTAACTTCTTACAGCATGAAGTTCTTAAGGTATATCAAAGTCAAGTATAAAACGCATATAAAAGATGAAATATGTAGTAAGAATAGGTAGAGATGTTAAACTAATGCTTGCACTTCACATCTTCATTTGTCGAAGCTTTTTAGTCCTTTGTCAATTACTAATGCACAAAGAATTATGCAAAATTAATATTCTATTTTATAGTACTCACTTTAATAAAATCAATTTTGCAGAATAAGTAATTTTAAAGAAAAAATAGCCTTGTTTTCGCTTTACTATTTTTATTCATGATTTTTCATTGTTATAGAAGTAAGGCGGAGAGCGAATATGATAATTATTGTACATGAACGAGTAATTATAAAATAAAATTTTATTTCAAGGATAAGTGAAAAAATTATTTCAGTTTCATAGAAAATTGTTTTATAATATGTAAAAAATTATTTACTATAAAATAATGTTTTCTTAATCAGATATTGTTAATCAAATTGACTTTATCGTTATTACGATTCTAATAATAATATTTTCATTTATCATAAATTGTATTACTATTATGTTAGTATTAAAATCTCGGAGTTTCATAATCAATATTACAGATTGGATCTAATTAATGAAATTACTGATGAAACTAAAATTTTATAAAAATTCTCATTGTACGTTACATTGTAAAATTTGGAATTTTAAAATTCTATCTCTTATATTTTATTTGAATTATTCTAATGCATTGAACTCTATGATTATGAATTTCAAACTTATTAGATAATATGGATTTAAAATGAATTTTATAATAAAAATAGAAAAATCATAAAGTGAAACATAAATTTGACGATAAGAGAATTTAATCATAATCTTTGATTTATCTAATAAGATTCAAATATATTCTCTATGCATACATACATACACACACACATACACACATACACACATACATACACACATACATACGTATATACATATATATATATATATATATATATATATATATAACATTAAAGAGCTTACACTGTGTTATGTGCATAATGTAAAAAAATAAATTATAAGTGAATACTTAGAAAATCTATCTTCTCCCATTTCCGAATTAATTATAAAATTTTTAAGTATTATTAGTGATAATATTTTAAGGAATATATTTATAATCAAAATAAACGTCGGTTCGGCTTATATTTATATAGATTATCATTTCATAATTATGATCTTATGTACAGATATTTGTAAGCGACAAATCAGCCACTTATAGCCTTGTAGTTGTAAAAAGTGATGTCGCAAAATGAGTCGACGAATGAAATGAAATATTTAATTTATAATTGAAGTTGAATTAAAATTTCCGTTTAAAGTTCATGTAAAAATGAAAATTGCACTCATTGTCAATAGCCAAAGTTCTAGTAACAGCCAAAGTAAAGAGCCATACTCGCTTCCCACAATCCAAGTGATCTCAATCGATGCGCTCCATTAGTCCATCCCTCGTCTACTCTTCAAGCATTCACTCAATGCAACGCTTAACCGTTTCACTCCTCACAAACACTCACCTGATAGTCCATGTAATTTCCGTAACCCATGTGGTTGCATGTGCACGCGCAAGCCTGTATGTGTCGTCGCATATCTAGCTCGAGCTCCTCGCCGCAAAGGCCCCGTCCCGTAGCGCTGGCCATCATTGTGTCACCCATACAGTATCCCCCGGTGCAATACATACGCGGATTCGACTGGTCCAGGTAGCCACCACCGGTGTCATTGTAACCACCGATGCCACCCAATCGGCTCGCGCACCTTGAGTCCATTGCGTAACTAACGCGTGACTGAGGCCTCGGTTGCTGCTGTTGCTGCTGCTGCTGCTGCTGCTGCTGTTGCTGCTGTTGCTTTTGTTGCTGCTGTTGCTGTTGTTGCTGTTGTTGCTGTTGTTGCTGCTGTTGCTGCTGCTGGTTATCATAGCCGAGCCGGGATTGAGGCCGATGATAAGCTGCGGGTGGTATCACGTCCTACGAAATATAAGCAATGGTTATGTTATCCTCATTAAAACAAATTCGGAGGGTAAAACTACGAGACGCGGAGATTGCGTTGCGCATGACAGCACTTAACATCTGACTGTTACAATCTTAGACGAATCTTTAATGATTTTTGGCTACTACATGCAATGATACATAAAAATAAACGATACACGGACAATTTGTACGTTATTTATGTTATTTCATTGGTTGAAGAGTATTATTGTATTCACTCTGAAATACTAAGGGCTAAAGGAGTATAATACGAATTCGAAAATAAAATTACTTTGATCAAGCTATTAATAACTTAATTCAAGATTTACCTGCTCATATTTGAATATCGAAGACTAAATTACAGTATTTGGAGTATATAAATTTCACGTAATTATAAATATGATGTGTCTTATGATTTATGATAATTACAATATTAGTTATATATTCATTAAATTCGGTATGTAGATTCTCAAAAAGAAAGAGAATAGTTTAACTCGATAGATTTGAAAAATCGATTCTTTATTCTTTTCTGTTCGTATTGTATAATTATTTCTTATAAACTGGTCTTATATTTAAGAAAACTATATAAATAATTTATACAAATTATGAAAATATTTCCATTATTATATAAAAATATAAAAATATTTATTACAAATTGCTTTGCATAGATTAAATAAAAATTAAAATGAATTTATTTATATATATATATATATATATATATATATATATCAAGTACAAAATTATTAAAACTTTAAATTCATACAACCGCAAGTACAAAATTATTAAAACTTTAAATTCATACAACCGCATACGGGTTAATATTCTTTAAATATAAATTTTATATATAAATTAATTTATAGGACTAAATATATATTAAAAATATATATATATATATATATATATATATATATATATATTATAATAAGAATTTATTAATAATGTATTATAAGTTGTTAAGTCTTCCATAATTTTTCTCATAAGATCACCTACCATAAACATATAGTGAATGGTTATAGAATATATGAAATAGAAATGTGATTACATCTATCCTCTGAATAAATATTATTTAAGACAAAAAAGTTTACATTTCTAATTTATGAAATTTCTTGACTTGCATAACTTTTTAGTACAAAACTATGTATTTTATTGATTAGCTTTCTATGAAAACTTGGAGTAGTTAGAATTCATTTATTTACTTACAAAAAATAATGCGTAGTACAGATATTTTATTCGCAAAAAAATAATAATCTATATTATTACGATTTCGTTGATCAATAAATATCAGGATCGCGTCTCAAAGAATAATTACAGATGCAACTAGATTTTCAAAGAGAACAGATTTGATAATTCATTTATGAATTTTTACCAATTTATTTGTTATGAAGATATGAAAGTAAAGGAAATATATATTTTCAAAATTTATTCTATTTAAACTGATAGCTCTATATTTTTATTCCTATGGATAATCCATTTTCTACGTATAATCCAGATTGAGAAGTCTGTTATATGAATTTGAAACTGACATAAAACATTCGTTATATCAATGCAAACAGTAATCCATAACTCTGTCATTAGGCTTATCTGGATGTTTGCAGTATTATGAAAACTTTTGCTTTTACATAAAATATTTTTAGTGTGATTGAATATTAGATGCAGAAAGGTTTAATAGCTTATAATAAATATATAATAATCATGTTAAATAGAACTTATATAATAATATTATGTTGTAGCAATAAATTGCTTATGTATTGTATAACTATTAGTTTTTTTTTTTTTTAATTTATCACTAGATATTATTAAAACAATATTGAACTATTCATTTATACAGCTAAATTTAATTAGACATTACCTCTAATAATTATTGTAATGTTTATTGATTAAGCAAAAACGGCTAAATGGAACATGGATAGAGATGTATATTTTCTTAAAATTTAATTCATTATCAAGCATAATCTGAATGCATTATATTAACGAGATAATATCATACTACAGATAATTAATTATTATTCAGAATAGTCAAACGTATTCCTATTCGATATATATTATTTTTAATCTGTTAAGAAATATAGCATGTAAAATTTTCTGATTACAATGTCACGTTTTCAACTAGAATAGAAGAAGAAAGAAGAGGTATGACGGCTGGTGACAAGATTATCCGGAAACTTACCATTTCCTATTAACCTACATCCCTGAAATTTTACTTGATTGACATTGTATGCAGCTGTTTCGTTAATTCAGAAACTTTCACACACAGAAGCGAAAATAAAAAGAGAATTATTCGTCTTGAACGCTATTCTGTATAAAATTGTGCTAAAAATGCTCTTAATATATAAATAATCTTTTTTATTTGATTAAAAACAATTAATTTATAATTTTTCTGCCACATTCTGTCATTTCCTATATATACTTACATTTTTTCATTTTTTTTTTAATTTCAGTTTATATTATACATGTTCCTATTCAGTTTATAATTGTAATTTTGATTAATATTACAATTTGTAAATTCATATAACATTATATATATATACAATGCTTTTTTTATTCTTTAAGTTTATATTGTATCGATTATTTAAATTTTCATTCTCTTAATTTAATTAAAAAACCAAAGAATATAATCGATTATTTTCTAACTTTACCCAATATTTTGTTATCCACTGTTTGTCCAAGTACATATTGAGTTTCAATTATATGTCACAATATTTTTTCTTATTCATCATATCCTTATACATTTATAAATACTGATTTACTTTTAAATTTACTATTAAAATTACATTCGTTATAATATTCTTGAATGTGTATTGATTTGTTGAGTGCAGATTTTCTGATTAACGAATCTGCTACATATATATATATATATATAGTAAGAGAATATGCATTCACGATTAAGAGAGAATAGAATAGAGATGATT